AACATACAAATCCATGGTGGAATTAAAATTGCAAATTTTTATTTCATATCCCATGGTGAACAAACTATGAGTCACATTATCAGAAAAATGTGTAACATAGTATATTAGTGATTGCCCAGAATTACGGCGAAGTTAGCTACAATCCCTGGTTTACAACTAAGAACCATTATGAATAAAAAATATGTTTCTTTTATGTTTTATAATGTCTATCCACTCACATGTATAAGACAGGGTTTGGTGGCATAACTTTATAAAATATGGTGACGTTAAGTTTTATTTGACATGAACATGGTAACTCTGGGAAAACAATTAATGCCGAAACATTCAGTGATATGAAACAGCAATAGCAGATGCCTACACAGTGCATGTCCTGGGGAAACTTGTGTGATACAAGCCATGATTAGCAAGAGATAAACAGACATAACATCCTGATTCTTTTTTCTAACTCAGTCAGTCACCGTTTTAAGCCAAACACATGAATAATCAATTTAAAGAATATTTGAATCAAAAGAGTTACAATCATGCCTGGCAGGAAAAAAAAAATCATTCTATGCAGGTAAAAAGAGTAATCAACTAATTATTAACCTTACAAAGCAAAACAAGGATTATACAAACTGTTTCTGAAATGTATTATCACGTCTACTGTGTTAGTAAATAGAATTTAAAAAATCAAGTTTGACACATCAATTTGTGAGATTAATATGTATTGGTATTTTTTTCCCCCTTGGTAATCTTTCAGGAACATCACATAAAATCAACATTTTTATGTGATATTAAGAGTCATGTTTAACATCACTTTCTATACTATAATAGAAGTGTATGAAGTTCTTGGGGAGAAAGCAACAAATAACTTGGTAGGATCTTAGAGACAGTGCCCCAGTCTGTCATTTATTCTTCCAAATGCACATCCCTATTCAGCTATGGCTTTGTAGATTTCTTCTGTGACTCTGGCATTCTCATTGCTAAAATTACATTGAAGAATATTTTAAAAATGATTTGCCATGCCAATATATAAGTTGAGAGGTTAAGGTTTTATTGTCTGATGTTTTCTTGTTGCATATGTTTCCCAGAGTTATCACAAAAATTACCACCAATTTGGTGGCTTTGAACGATAGAAATTTATTTTCTCACAATTCTTGAGACCAGAAGTCTGAAATCAAGGTTCTGGCAAGACTTTGCTCCTTCTGAAGGAACTAGGGGAGAATTCTTCCTTGCCCCCTCGTCTGTGACAGAAAACTGCCAATTTGCTCCCATCTCCACATGGCCTTTTTCTCTGTGCATCTCTGTGTCGTCCTTTACTATCTCTTGCAAGGACATGCTCATTGGATTTAGGGCTCACTCTAATCCACTATGATCTCATCTTGATCCTTACTCAATTCCATCTGCAAAGACTTTACTTCCAAGTAAGGTCACTTCTGAGATTCTGGGTGGACATAAATAGTTCAAGGGACAATATTCATCCCACTTGTAACACTTGTGTTACTACACATACGGTTCACAGTTATTTTTTCAAAACATTGATGTGAATGAAAATCAAATGATCAAATAAACAATTTATTACAATAGATTAAAAACGCTGGTGAATTGACTAAATAATCTGAATCATCCTGTCTACGAGAAGCATTGAACACACTCAATATAATAAATCAAATTCCTTTTGGGGATACAGTCTTCAACAAAATTGTGTTGGGTGATTCATTAACTTCCTGATGCTGTCTTTTACATCTTTGTTCCTGAGGCTGTAGATCAAAGGATTCAGCATGGGGATGACGACTGTATAAAATACAGAACCTACTTGGATTATGAGCCATGAGTTTTTTGAGTTGGGTACACAATAAAGGAACAGGACAGTCCCATGGAAAATGGTGATGGCAGTCAGGTGGGGGGCGCAGGTAGAGAAAGCTTTTTGGCGCCCACTAGCAGAAGGCATTTTTAGGATAGCGACAAAGATGAAAATGTAGGTAGTGAGGATGATTCCCAGGCTGCTCACCTCATCGAACATGGCAATGACAAAGCAAAGCACTTGGCTGATGTAGGGATCGGAGCAGGAGACAGAAACAATGACAGAATACTCACAGACAAAATTGTTGAGGATGTTAGGCCTACAGAAGGATAATGCCAAGACAAAATAGGTGAGTGTCAGGGAACAGACTATACCCCATGCGTAGGGCCCGGCCACTAACCATGCACAGAGCTTTGGGGACATGACAACTGTGTAGAGCAGAGGGTTACAAACTGCCACAAATCGGTCATAGGCCATCACTGCCAACATGAAGGTTTCTGCCACCGCGAAGATGCAGGCAAAGAAGAACTGCACGATGCATCCTGTGAAGGAGATGGTCCTGTCTTCCACAACCAAGTTCTCCAGTAGTTTGGGTGTCACTGTAGTGGAATAACAGAAATCAACAAAGGACAAGTGGCTGAGGAAAAAGTACATGGGGGTTTGGAGTTTGGGGTTGATCCTGATGATCATGATCATGCCCAGGTTCCCCAGCACAGTGACCGTGTAGATGGTCAGGAACACCAGGAACAGGGGCACCTGGAGGTCGTCATATTCTGAGAAGCCCAAGAGGGTAAATGTGGCTCCAAAACTCTGATTTCCTTCTGTTAACAACATGATTGTTGTTGAAGAAAATCTGAAATAATGACAACAAAAAATAATTATCTTGTACATTTATTTAATATTTACCATGTGTCAGACATTGTGCCAAAACATTAAAACATATTAATTTAAATATCAAAATAACAAGATGAATTGTAAAACAAGTAGCCTCATAATTTTTGTATAAGCAAGCTGAGGCATATATAAGTTAAGGAACTTGTTTGAGTTAGACATCTTCTTAGTGGTGACCTGGGTTTTTAAGTTGATCCATACTGGTAGAAGTTGAAGTATAGTCCCCCCTCCCCTTATCCACCTGGGGTGTGTTTCAAGACCCCAGATAGTAACAAACAATGTATATGCCATGTTTTTTTTCCTATACGTGTATACCCGTGATAAAGTTTTATAAATTAGGCATAGTGAGAGTGAGAGACTTACCATAATAACTAATAATAAAATGGAACAATTATAACAAAATGTCAGTGTCACTAGTTTTGCACTTATAGGGTGATTATTAAGTAAAATAAGAGCCACTTGAACACAGACACTATGATACAGCAACAGTTGATCTGATAAAGGACATGGTTTCTAAGTAACTAAGGGGCAGGTAGTGTGTACAGCTTAGACACGCCGGACAAAGGGATGAATCACATCCCAGGTAGGATGGACAGCATGAGATTTCATCACACTACTCACAACAGCACGTAAGTTAAAACTTATGAATTGTTTACTTCTAGAATTTCTCATTTAACATTTTCCAACCGCAGTTGACTAGAGGTAACTGAAACCACAGGAGGTGAAACCATGGATAAGGGGGTACTATTGTAGTTTTCTTTAGGATGAATAGAAAATTCTTCTATAGTTTTCTGGAAAACATTATTTTCACAGTTCCATTATTCTG